TTACTTTATCATAATTCTTTTTCTTTTTTTAATTTAAATTTATTAAAATAAGAAATATATATTTATTATTTATTTCTTTTTTATAATTATTTTTTATGGTACAATTTAATAATAGTGTGATAAATTATTTATGGTATATTATTAATTATTTAATTATTTATATTTTATATAATATTTTATTTTATATTATTAATTATTTTATTTATTATTTATTATATTGTTTAATATCAAAAACAATTATTTTCTATTCTCATATTTATAATTTTATAATCTATTTCATTTAAAAATAAACTCTGATTTATTATAGTTTATTATATTATCAAATATATATTCATTTTTATTTCATATTCTTTTAATTAATACAAAAGAATAAATTATTTTCATTTATATTCATAATTTATTAGAAAATAATTTTTGAATAATAAAAACATAAAAATACTTATATTTTTCATTGGAAATGAATAAAAATATAATAATAATATAAAAGAAAAAGAAGAAATAAAAATAAAACATAGAATAATAAAGTTAATAAGAAATAGATAATAAAAACGATATAAAAATAGAATAAGATAATAATTAAGAAATAGATAAAAATTAAATATATTAAGAAGAAGATATTTAAATATGTCATAGTCACTTAATCCATTGACAATTTGTGTCTTTCTACGCGTAGAAAGACACAAATTGTCAATGGATTAAGAGAGTATGACAGTGTTCTAAAAATAGAACACAGTAGTGATCACAAAAATGAGTGTGATGACGTGGCAACTAAAAATAGAAATAGAATGATGACGTGGACATACATCAAAAGTATTTATAGAAATAGAATTGACGTGGCAACAACTCAAAGATATTTATAGAAATAGAATTGACTCATCAATACGTAATCAAATAAAAATAGAATTATGGGATATAAAACACAATAATCTAAAAAGTGTAGATAGAAATGTCAGCTGACACGCTGACAATTTTAAACTATAAATTATAGTAAAAAAACTATAAAATATAGTAAAAATCTATATCAGTAAAAATATATATATATTTTGAGGGAGAGATGGCGCAATCAACGACACTGATACCGACAAACTGTTATATAAATCAATTAAGCAAAATTAGACTGATGGTAATAGCATAAGAAGAAGCTAGTTAATAATAGCGAAAATCGGTATAGATATGCCATAAAGCGAGTATAACAATAGGAGTAAAGCAAATGAATAACTAAATAATTAATATTTGTAATAACACAAATGAATAACAAAAAACCAATAATAGAACAAATGGTATAAGCATTAACATAAATGTCAGGGCCGAATGATTAATTAGATCACTGACAAGGGTTTATATAAAAACGCAACGTGGCAGGGTTGAATTTAACGTTAAAAAAATTCAACGTGGTGAGGAATTAGGGTGAAAAAAAGGTACAAAACAACGAAGCATAAAAACATAAAAATCAATAAAACATAAAAATAGCCAATAAACAACGAGAGAAAGGGATAAACATCATAGATATGAGGAATAGAAACGAGAAATAAGAAGAAATAATGACAAAGCAACAACAAATGACCATGTATTAACAAAAATAAAAACAATAAAAATAAACGACAAAAATCAGAAACAACGATGAACTGTGAATACAAATGGTACAACTCTTGCAAGAAGAATCATTATTTCCTATGTGGTGGAGTAGCTGTGGGAAAAACAACTGTAATGAAAGAACTGTGTAACATTATTAAGACGAGAGTGAAAACATGTTTTATCAAAGAATACATCGACTTAGATTTCATGGGAGAATCTTTATTACAACGACTGAAAGAAGGAAAGATGTCGAATTTTGAATTCCAATCCTATGTATTGAATTGCTTTGAAACTCAGTTACGTTCAAAAGAATATTCAGAAGCAGTAATAGTCGTTTGGGAAAGACATCCTGAAGAAGCACTTAAAATTTTCTGTTCAAGCCCCAACGCATTAACTATTTCAGAGAGATACGGATTATTAGAAAAACTTGCAAAACTAAAGAAAACATTTGACATACCAGAAATTTCAGACGACACTTCTTATTTATTTAAGATAAACACTTATTATTATGGACCAAGATATATAGCAGAATCGATTTATACCCAACAAATGATACCAAGAATATTTGATAAAGGAAAGTCCAATTATTTCTATTTGTTATACTGCGATCCAGTAGAAGAACAGTTAAAGAGAATAAAAACGAGAGGCAGAAAAGTTGAAATAGCAACTTATAAAAACGTCTTTGATTTGGCACCAATCAACGATGCTTATGAAGATTTATTCGATACGGTACTCTTCTTAAAGGGACAAAACGAAGACGGACAAGCGGAATAACTCTAATTGAAAGATCCATCTAATTATTTGGTTATTAATAACATGAGTGATACGACAACAACCGAAGAAATACAACCAACTAAAAGGGGAATGCTACTAAAAAAACTGATAAACGCATCACCATTACACGTCTGCTGTGCTTCACTATTCCTGTTATCATTAGCAACGCTGTTTTTAATAATATTCATATTGACGAAAATCGTTTAATTTAACCAAAGAATAAAGAAAAGTAAATTATTCTTTAACATCGGGTTTTTTTGGTTTCTTCTCAATATCAGATTTCTTAACCGGCTTAAGCATACTCTTCTTGTTTCTCATCTCCTCTAAAGCTTCACCATTTACCAATCTCCCCACTTCATCATTCACTTCTTTAATTTCGACATCAGCGCCATCTTTACACTTCTTTGAATGAGCTTTAACCCATTCGGGAATAGTACCATTAACAACAGCCTTTGATCTCTTTTTAGCAAACTTCTTGTTCCACGTGCTAAAGCTGTTTAAACTTATATTCTGCTCATCCAAATACTTGGATATCCTTTCACAGTGTCGTATAGACTCCAGTTTATTACGAATGAGATCTTCTCTTGCTTCATCTGTGGTGATATTTTGATCATTGTTTAACTTCCATTCCAGGTATTGGGGGTCTTTCATGGTATAAAAGAACTTCTTTAATAAGCCATTAACCTGGGGTTCTAATTGAGATTCTTGATAAACATCGAGAATATCCATCGCGGCTACGTCATCGAATATATCATCGTGGGGGCGCTTAAAATTGAACATCGTTACTGATAATTATGAGATGCACACGCTTTAAAAATGTGAACTCCACTCAATGACTCACTGACACGTAATCCAAAACGTCAACGCGATCTATAAAAACGCGCTTATTAACACGTTAATTATCAATGTCTCTTAATAAATTTGAACCATCTAGAACAGACAAAGGAAAGCTAGACCAACTATTAAAAACGCACAGGCCGTTACACTTCACTTCTAAGTATGCGTACTTAACCCTATGGGGAGACGAAATCTCCAACCAATTACAATTTGAAGAGACTATAAATAGAATCGCCGGTCCGACCTCCAATGTGCAGTATGCACATATCTCACCAGTGGAAAAGGATACGGATGGAAACAATCCACACCAACACATGTTGGTAGTCTTAAAGCGCCCCCGTTCCTATAACGCTCAGCCCATATTCAACCATTCTGATGGAACAAAGCAGAAATTCTGGTACAGTAGAGTTAATTCCTATACTGCGCGCACCGGGGACATCAAAGCAATCATAAAATACATCACGAAGAAAGGAGAGGGGATGCACAAAGGAGACCCGGATAAAAAGGAAGATATAAAACAAACGTGGATAAATGCTCTAAACGACATGGATACTTACCACGACTACAAAGAATTGGAAAAAAACTTAATGGAAATAAACGCAGAAAAGTACATACAACAGGAGGGTAAAATAAAGTCCCGGTGGTTAAGAAAAAACGCGCGCAGAATAGATATGGAAAACTACACCAAAGAAGACTTGTTCCCCTGGAAAGAAGAAAATGAAGGAGTACAGACTATAAGAAAATGGATTAAATGTGCCTCAGGAGATAAATATAGAATGGGGAATCTATTCATAGTGGGACCAACAAAAACCGGCAAAACAGAATTCGCAATACAAGAGATATTTATGAAATATAACACGTTCCTTCTCAGAGGAGATTCCCTGTTTGACGCATACGACGACGAACAACCATACCGCTTTATTATTTTCGATGATATCAATTATGATAGAAACCTAATTCGTTTAATTAAAGCCTTAACATCATCGATAAATAAGAAAACGATGGTAAACATAAAATACTCCAAGGCAATAGTAACGGCCCGTCCTTGTATACATCTCCTAAATCAAAAAGAATAGAAGGAGTCTCTTCCA